TACACATTTTCTGACTGGGAGCCACATTAGCATTAATAGGATCCTTCACCTCTTAAGACCTCTATACCCCTCCACTCCAGGCCTCTACAACTGAACACTTGGATCTCCCTCAGTGCCACGTACTTCTGTCACCCACAAAATGGCTGCAAAAAGAGCATTGCTAGCTCTTCAGAAAAAAAACTTTTATTTTTAAGGCCTGTCCATAATGCAGAGACTTTTCAGGTTGAATTTTCTCAGAACCAGGCTAAAGAAAGTGATGAACATGAAAGCCACTGCCTCACCTAGGACACATTTTTTTCATTCATGAAAATGCAGGTTTGAGTTTGCATTGCCATACCAAAGAAAGTGACTTCTCGGAGCCCTCTTGCTTTTAAACACACCCTGTTCAGTGGTTGCACTTTAAGTGAAAGCACCTCAAGAGAACTGAAACTTGCACTGCTGTTGATGGGGCCTTTTCAACTCCAATGCCCCACAAAGCCATCGGAGTAGAACTCCTGCCCCTCCTTGTCTGAGAGAGGACTTCAAACGGATGAAGAGTTCAGTCAGCCAATCCACTGCATTTTTGCTGGGTTCTCTTAATAAAATAACCTGTGTGGTCAAAGAAACAGCCCCAGACAAAGGAACAGAAATCCTTCCACTAGAACCAAAAAGCCCATTGGGATTTCATGAGCATTCTACCACCCCGGCTGCTCCGTCATCCCAGAACAAAGTTCGGAAGGGAGGGAAGAAGCCAGCCAGCTCTAGGTCTCTTGGATCCAGTGTACAAGGTTTAAAAGGTCCTGTAAGTGAGGAATTCTTTCATTTTCTTGGGGATGGGCAGTGCCAGGACCTGGTAAGTTGTGAGGAAGGTGCGGAGAGCCTTGCGACATAAGTGCTTAAGGGTTGAGAGGGTCTTGGGGGCACTCCAGAACTGGACGTGGCCATCTCTCGTCCTGCAACATGAGACCAAGGATAAAGGTTAGCGTTCCTCATACCTCAGCATCAGCACAAACACCGCCACACTCACCCCATCCCGGCATGGGGAAGGAAGAAAAAGCTGCGCTCGCATGGCATTTAAGGAAATGGACTGTCACCATGCACAGACCCCTGCTTCTAACAGCTTTGCACATTTTCTACTCTGTCAGAGGCTCTTACTCGCACCCTCTTCCCCCACCGCCATCTGGGATGACTTCATGAGCCCAGCCTGCCCACTCAAGAGAAACCCACAACTCAAGGCCTCATGTTCCAGCAGAGGCTGCTGCAGACATACAGGAAAAGGCTGATTGCAATGTCCTACCTCCCTGTGGAATCCTGAGTCTGAGGGTTGCTAGCTGAGATGGAGGAATAAGGTAGGAACCCAACAAAGCTTGTTTAGCAGGCAATTGATAGGCGGAAGACAATGCCTCAAGCAGAGAATTTTCCAACACCGCTTTCTCTTGGCATCAAAGCAGTGTCCACACCAGACGCTCTATACCAGTAGTCTAGCTCTGCAGTACACCCACAAAATGCTCCTAGTGTGCACACAGCTCTGCCAGCAAACCTGTCCTTTGTACAACCTCCCACCGCCCCCAAGAGTGAAGCATGCTCTACTGGTACAAGGACAGCTCTGCTGGTCTAGTGCCTACATTGTAACTTTGGCCAGCACAGCTGCATTAGTATGGGGTATGACAGCTGTGTGTTGGCAGAAGCCTGTGGCACAGAGCTGGACTCAGAGTGCCCTGTTTTGAGAAAACAGCAGCGTTGCAGACGGGGGCATATTTTGGGTCAAGGTGGAGTCACATTCCCCCGTCCCCCTCACCCCAAACTCAGCTGGAATATAACATGCGCTCGGCAGGAGAGCACGTCCCACTGGCCTGCACAGAACATACGCAGCCGTGGGGAAAGTATACACAGCACAGACCATTGGTCATAGGTGCAAATGCCACTGGAGTTCTTAGTTCCAAATCCCAGATCCTCAGGAGTCTAAAGGGGAGAAAGGGAGAGAGATACACACACAATGACAGTCTGAGAGATCACATCTCCAAGTGGCACTAGCTACTCAAGTTGCATCAGTGCACATAAATGTTCAGCTGTTGAAGCTAAAGTAAATTTCCAAAGCCAATTTAGTCCCTAGCCTTTAGAAGCAATTTACAATGTTATTTAAGTTTCATGTCTCCACTACAAGGCAGGCATTATACCCATTTAGAAAGGTTTAAATCAAGGCAGAGATTACATAACTTGGCTCAAGATAAGAGTTTCTATACTGGGTCAGACCATGGTCCATCCTGGCTCTGACAGTGTTCCCTAAGCAAACTTGGTGGATAAGAGAGGTTACTTCTGCTGAGAACTTTGACTTATCTAACCCTTCTCCCAGGAAAAAAAAAAAGTGAGCTAGAGATACCAGCACTAGCTGGGATAAGAGGACCAACACACCCCACCCCTCCCTGCTTGATCTTGCCCTGACAGTAATCAGGCCCATGATTCAACACCAGGGTGAACTGAGTCTCCACTGAGATGTTCCCAGTGCCACCAACCCCAACGCACACAAATAACAGTTCCGGAAGAGCTCACCGGATCAGGAGCTGGCAAGTTTGCCTGTACAGTTGGCACTGGATGGGCAGTAGCTGCACCAAATTACTTCAGCCCCGATCTTAGCCCACTGAAGTCAACAGGCTTTATCTACGTCTGCAAGGAATCTCTCCAGGCTCCCTTTAAGGCAGCTAACAGCACCCAGGGTGTGGAGGCAGCAGAGGGTATGGGCAGCAGGTACTTGCTGCTTCAGGGTGTGTGGCCCAACACAACACTTGGGAAAGAGATGGTGGGAACACACATCCAGGCCCCCTCTTAGGCACAGCATTGGCATACACACCTGAGCCAGCTGCTGGCCTTGCCTTAAGGTCTTGACACCATGGCGGCCAGGCAGCTATGTCCAAAGAGGAGTTACCTAAAGCTACCCGTGATGGGAAGTGTCTACAGCTTTGAGTGCGGCACCCAGCAGCTGTGCTGCTTGGACAAAGGCACCTCAAACCAAAGCCAGAGTCAAGTTGTACTGCTCCGCAAGCCTGAGCACTGGGACAGACTCAAAAGGCAGAGGACCCTGCTGGAAAATGGAGGGCCAGAAGCTGAAAAGAGCTTTGGAGCTCATCTGAACAGCTGTGGCGGGGGCCCTGCTCTAAGATGCCAAGTCCCTCACCTGTCGTCTGCCACTGTAGCAAGATACAAGCCTTCCGGAGAGAAGCACACGGACCTTAGGGAGCTGGCATGGATGTCACTGCCGTAGTCCAATGCTGGGGGCAGCGCAACATGGCTAAGAAAAAGGGAAAAAGCGCTTACTCGCCATGTTTGTTAGGGCTAGCCCATACAGCTGGCTGGGGAGGGACTTGTGAGGGGCATAGAAACACAGTAAATCAGAGCGCCTGCTTCCCACGAGTCACTGTGGCTGGGATTGGAGCACAGCTCTCAGATGTCCCTGTGAAACGTGCATTTCCTTTGTAGCGGTGTCTCACGGACGGTGCCTCCTCTCCGGTCCCGCTCTTTGAAAAGTGGGAGAACAGCGCAGCTGAGCACGGCAGTGCCTAGGCCGGGGGCTAGACGTTCGGCACAGACTCCAGTCAGCCACAAGGAAAGTGCTGGTATCATCTCCCCTCCCATGCTGTGAGAGCAACATCTAAAGCAGCAACACACAGCCCCGACCCTCATGTATTGGTTAACCTCCTTTTCCCTCCCGAGGTCGGGGGTGGAGAACGATTTGTACATTCAGAGAGCACTCTACAGCAGCCCCCGTCCCCCCCCAGCCCAGACCTTCTCCTCCCTTAGTACCGGAGCCTCCCTCCTTACCGAAGTGTTCTCAGCTGCTCCCCCGTGTAGGGGTCCCACATGATCACGCTGGTGTCATAGGAGGCGGTGACCAGCAGAGCGGAGTCTGGTGAGAAGTCGCAGGACACCACGCTGCTCTGGTGCCCTTCCAGCTTCCTGATGAGGGTGTAGGAACGCATGCTCCACAGGAGCGCCTGGGGCGGGGGGGTTGGGGAACAGAGGAGGGTTACAATCTCTGCTCAGGGGAGGGTAGCAGCCTCTCAACTGTCTCATCACCCCCTCATGGACTGCTCACACGAGCCAGGCATTAGCCCCTGGCACAGAGGGGGGCAAACAGACATTGCTCGTGTGGGCACCAGCTCGTCGGATGCACGCCAACTCCCAGATCAGCAAGACAGACTCTCTGCAGCACAGAGACTCCAGCTGCGTGGCCAGGCATGGCTGTGGCTGCATGTGAGGAAAAGGGGTCTAGCCCCCCCAAGCTCTCTGGGTGAGCTGGGGAGAAGAGCCCTTTGGGGTGTGACCTCCCTAGGGCAGAGGGGCTCTGCCACTGGTCCATATAGGACCAGGACAGTAGGGCCATGATCCTCTTCCAGAGGCCCAGCACCACAATGGTGCTCCAGGTGCCAGAACATGCCCCAGGAGGGAATGGGGACAGGAGGAATAGTAGCATGTGCAATCAGCTGGCACATCCTATGAGCAGTGGGAGTCAGCTCTAGTGGACCTCCCTAGGGCAGAGGGGCTCTGCCACTGGTCCATATAGGACCAGGACAGTAGGGCCATGATCCTCTTCCAGAGGCCCAGCACCACAATGGTGCTCCAGGTGCCAGAACATGCCCCAGGAGGGAATGGGGACAGGAGGAATAGTAGCATGTGCAATCAGCTGGCACATCCTATGAGCAGTGGGAGTCAGCTCTAGTGACTGGGGACTGCAAGCTGCTATCCCAGTCCTGCAAGCTGCTATCCCTGGGCCTGCTCCAGCCCAGCCTACTCGCCTCCTCTCCACAAACTCCACTTTGGAGGAGAATCCTGCCTCAGTGCTCAAGGCACCAGGTTCCAAGCTGGCATGCAGGAGGGAGACATGGTGCTCTCTTCAGGAGATGGTGCCAGCCCTTCCCTTGCCCCCGTCCTAGCAAGCAGACACCCTGGACTGGACACACAGCAAAGACCACAAGGCTTTGGACTCTAGCCCTTTCAAATGGGGAAGGGCAGGTTGGCCTACCTGGGAAAAACAATGGGCAGGAACTTAAAGGGATGGGACTTGGGTACAATGCTCAAGGGTGACCCCCACTGACCAGTCTAGGGATCAACACCACCACTGGAGAAGAGTAGGGAATGGCAGAAGGGCAAGAGGAGGAACGGTCCGGGGCAGTGTATACAAGGCGGGTCCATTCAGCAGAGCTGCTGCACCCCAGGGACCCGAGGGCCAGCGCACACCACTAATCCAGCTCTGCAGAGGATGCGGTGGGCTCTCCGGCAGCTGAACAGGCTCCCCTCCCCGCAAGAATATGCCCAACTCACCGATTTCTCCCCAGCCGCAGAACACAGCATGCTGCAATGGGGGGAGATGGAGCAGCAGTACACCCACTGCGTGTGGCCAGACAGCACCTGGACCTGCTTCCCTAAGGATGGCAGCAACAGTTTGAGAAAGGAGCGCACAGTCCAGAGACGGGGAGAGCTGGGAGGCCCATTCTCACCTCCACCTGCTCTCTCTGAAGCCAGCCTGGAGGAAGCAGCATGTCTCAGACCAGATTAGACCTAGATTTCCCCATGCAGGCGCTTGCTCTGCTGAAATGGGTTTATTCTCAGGGCATGTCTGCCTGCAATCTGGGTACATGACTGACTTGTGTAGACACCCCTGAGTTAGTTTTACTCCAGCTGGCTTGGGTACTGGAGTTCACGGTCAGATGAAGCGCAGTGCCAGCTAGCCGCTCAAGTAGTTAGTGGCACAGCCTCTGCTAACGCACTGTTGCTCTCGAACCCAGCTAGCTAGCTCAGACAGGCCCACTCAAGCCAGACTTACGCCCTCGGTCAGCCGCCAGCGCTCCTAAGCATTGCGCGCTCACGTCAAGGACACATGAGTGTTCGCGTCACTTGCTGTTCCCTCCTGCTCCAGTCACTCAGCACTTGCGTTCCCAGTTTCCTGGGTGTCTCCATGGAATTATGTTCAAAGTACTTTCAAAGAGCCGGGACCGGGCAGCTCAGCACGTTAATAATGAGGTTGCAGACTACTGACCCCCTCACCCAGGCCTACTGCATCTAATGAGAATAGAGCCCCCTCTGGGCGACACTCATAGCACAGCACACATGCTCGTAACAGCGTCTGGGGCCCATATCCCACCAGGGATGCATGCTCTCACTCGTACCATCTCGGCTCAGGTCCCAGATGCGGAGGGTCCTGTCCCGGGACGCAGAGACTAGAATCGGGCTTCCGTGGGGAGCAAAGCACAGGTCCCTCACAACGTCCAAGTGCCCGGAAAGGCTGAAAAGCAGGCCCCCTGCGGATACAAGCACACAGCTCAGTTCGGGCTCACCACAGACACAAGCACGTCTCGCTGGGCCCGTCAGGGCAGCTCCAGGGACACATCCCTTGCTGCTAGCTGCACCTTCCACCTTCCAGAGCAGTGCTAATGCTGACAAGAGCAAAACAGCGGATCCCCACCGCCAGGCCACGGCAGCTCTGGAGCCTGGGACACACCACCCAGCGCCTTCCCTTCCGCTGCAGATGTTGGGAGAAGTGTGTCCTGTCCCACCTCTCGGAGAGGGGTCCGTTCCCCGACACAGAAGAGCAGTTCTCTACACAGCGGGAGGGCTATGCAGAGCCCAGCACGGCAGCCTTAGAGCAGCTGCGACCCGGGAAGCAGCACTCAGCTGGCAGCTGGAAGGCAGCACAGCACTAGATGATGGAATGGGGCAGGCACTGGGGCTCTGGGGACAGGACTAGTGCTGGAACCTTTTCCTAAATAACGATAAGCTATAAGACAAAGAGCAGAAAAAGACATTTTTAATATTTTAGAAGCTGGTTTATTTTACATGTGGACCAGCAATAAAATGTGGAAGTCCCAACTTCCACTCTAATCACTAGACTATACAGCAAAAAATATTTATTTAATAAGTTAATTTTTGTAATGCAGTTGCACCTAATGACCAGAGTTCCACTGTGCTATCTGTTGCACAAACATATAGCAAAAAAACAGTCCCTGTCAAAAAATGTCTAATTTTAAGAGCGACAACATGACAGACATCGGAGAGTGAGGTAACAGTGAAACAGCTAGCATGAGCACTAGTCTCAGCATAGTGCCGAACTACTAAGTGTTTTTTCATATGCATTAGGACAGAGAAGGAAAGAATGTTACTGGTCCACCAAAAGTTTGCAGCTGGGTTTGCTGGTCTGCAGTATAAAAAAGATTGCGAGCCACTGGTCTAAAACACAGAGCAGAGGTGATGCAGAAGCAGCACGCTGGGCAGCGTGAGAATCCACGCTGGGAAATACTAGCAACGTGCACAGGAAAACTCCATGGGGGGAGGAGACTAGGGAGAGAGGCAGAGACTGTCTAGCCCACAAAGGCAGGTTGATTTCCCACCCCTCTTCTCAGGAGCTGGATTAAGCCAGTACATGGAACCCACCCTCACACAGGCGCACTCACCTGTTTGCACCTCCCAGACTTTAATCTGTCCGTCATTGAGTCCTGTGGCGAGGATCAGACAGGAGCGATCTGGAGCCGGCAACCTGTCCCGCTCCTTAGTGCGGCCCAGAGGCCAGGAGCTGAAGGCCAGTCCCCACACAATCTGGCCACAGTCTAGCGTCTTCTCCTTGGCTCCTCCTCTGCCTCTCACATCGGCTTTGACGCCACGGCTCTTGCGTTCAGATGTTTTGCAGCTTCTGCAGAGAGCAGAGGGTCATTCAGCAGCTGCCTGGTTCTCCTGCGCCCCCACCCCGGACAATTCACACAAGAGGGACTAGAACTGAGTGTGCAATGCTGGTGAGCGTGACTGCGAGTTGTGTCTGCACCAGGGATTTCAGCTATCGGTGGCCACGCTCAGGAGCAAACCCGCTAACGAAGGCGGGCAAAGCAGCCGTTTAAACCAACATGTGTCTGCCTGCAACCAGAGGAAGCTGCGCTGGTCAAACCAGAGCTTTGTGCTTAGCCCTAGGTGGGACTGATCCCCCTCCTGTAACGAGGCCCTGTAATGAGCCTCAGCAGAGCTCGTTACAGACAAGCCGTGACAACGCAGACCACACCAGCATTATCGTTTTCACAGTTCGAAGCACCATGGCTGCTTACTGGGCTAAAATTCTTGTCCCTGCCAGATCCACTCATTCTCCCCAAACAGACCAGCCATGGTGCTGCCTCCCCGCCCATCACAGGGGGCACACGGCGCAGCTTGGGCTCGTTAACATGGCCTCTTCGCTTAAGAGGCACACCAGGCAGCCGAATGAAAGCACAGGGAGAGGAAGGATGGGACAGTGGCTCATTGGCCTGAAATCAATTTCCTGCTCCGTCACAGACTCCAGGTTACCGCGGGCAAGTCACGGAGCCGCTCTGTGCCTCAGTTCCCGCATGAGGTAGTAGCACTCCCCTGCCTCCCAGATGTGGTGAGGGGTAGAGAGCCGCCCTCGCCATGCTACCAGCCTAGGGAGGGGTGCTAATGAAACCAGAGCTCCTCACACCTACTGGATGTTGCTTCTTTACCTTACCCACCCTTCAAAGCTGGAGGAGGAAGAGTCCTTCCCTGACATTGGGTCTTCTTTCCTCTCCCC